GATCTCTAACTAATGAAGAATAAACACGCGATGCTTTCAGCGGTGAAATTCTGTTGTTTCTGGAGTACTTCTCCCCTAGACGTTTTTCCACTTCTTTAAGAAGCACGATACTGTTTTCTCACTACGCCAGCATCCCCTGATGCACCCAGCCTACTGAGAGGTCTTTACAAGGCATCAACACAGGAACTCCGAAGGTAGCACCGTTAGAAAGAATGACTCTATCCAAATCAGCAAAGCCCCTTCCTTTACCCTTCTCCACCACGCTCTGACATCCAGCAGCCTCGTAACGCGGGGTGAAGGGAGCTCTCGTGGCTGCACACCGGTAACATTCACAACGGTCATGCATATTACAATCAGCAGATTTCTAGGGTGCCACTTGCAAAGTAAGCCTTCATGCAGACAGGCATTCAGCTCACTAACTCCGTTTTCATATTTCCTATTAGTCCCTGAGAAGTTCATATTTCTACCTACAATATGGCTATTAAAGGCATTATAACGATCATACACTCAGCTGTTTGTGATGGAAATGCAATGCGGCTTTAGGTAGAAGCAGCACGGAAATTACAGCAAATTAGCGGTGATGAATACAGATCTCATTTCTAAATTGCTTTCTTTTCACAAGCAAGGTTGCTGAAGAGCAACATAAATTATTTTAGTCACGGACACAAAACCAGCCAGGGCCACTTACCCTTAATAAGTCGCTCCTACGAATCCAAGACATGTGGGGCTCCGAGACCTCTCTAATTGAGCATTTCCTTTACATAAAATCATCTGGATTTTGACCTAATGTAGGGTCATCATGATCCTTCTTTTAATTACTCAACAGCAGTGCTGGGAGAACTTAAAAGGACCAGGGATTTTCTTTGCTTAGCAAGTCTTGCCTCTTCAATTAAAGTGATCTCTTTAAATTGTTCGGAATTCAAATGGGGTTTTTTGGTGGACAATTTGCATTATTGCCAGCTGCTCAAAAACCATAAGCTATGGCGCCCAAAAACAAGGGGACCGATTTAAAATCAAGACTTTGGGCTGGGGGGTGGAGGGAAGGGAATAAAGACAAGTTCTTTTTCTCTGCCTTCTGGCTTCTGAGCAGTTACAGATTGCATTTTAAAGCTCTTCTCTACTATCTTCAGGGCTAAATAATGACTTGCAGGACAAAAATGAAAACTGACTTTTAAGTAAGTATGTATCTCAGAAGTAGAGTATTATTTCTAAACACCATGATCTTGACATTTACAAAAGGTATCATTTAACAAATTGGTTTAGGGACAATTTACGTCTAAGTAATGTAAAAAGTTTTTACAGGCTACTCTACTTGCCTTTGCCTATCGTGGGAAATTCTGGATTTGCACACACAGTTTATCAAAGTGACTCTTACTGAGCTATTACAAAAGAAAAAACATCTACTTACTTCGGGTAATCTATCTCCATAAACATTTTAATTTCTGGTGAAGTTTGCCAATCCCAGGATAAACTCCAAATCGTAGCTATTTAACAACTGATAAGCTCTACAGAATTCTTAATTTAAAGGTCAGACAGAAAGCCCTTCTCCCTCAGGACTTACTTCTACCTATCAGATTAAAAATAATTTATTTTGCTTATATTACAGTAAGAAGCAAAACCTTTATTGGCCAGTTAAGGGCTGCTATACCTAAAAATAATAATTAGCTTTCACAGGGGTCACTGCTGCCTTTACCCTCAGTTTTTCAGGCTGAAGATGAAACAGACAATTAGCATCATTTGTTAAATGATGAATATCAAGTGGGTACCTAACTCTTACGATTCAAGGAAACTGGAAACAGACAAAATGATTTGTAGGAACTGGTGATCTGCAGGAAGATGAACAAGCCAGTACTATGTAACACGTATCTTAGCCAAGAGTAAGCCATGTCCTGGAAGTCCTACCATAGCCTCTGGCCTGCCCAAACTGTTGTAACTTCATCCTTTGCCATCCAGACAAAAAAAGGTAATCTGTGCCTCCTCACTAGCACGCAAAATAAAGAGATTGGGTATTTCAGAAACAAAGGAAAATCCCAATGGCTGCTTCAGGCATTTACATAGTTGATTAACGGTCCTGCCATGTTCAATTTCTATCATTGTAATTAATGAATTGAAAGGGATTGTATGAAAAGGTTTTATAACGCTCTTACTAGGCGAGTGTACTATCTCATCGGGAGAGCAACACCTCTGAGCATAAACCATCTATATATATATGTGTGTGTGTATATATATTTTTTTTATATATATATAATTTATATACAGGCAGTTTCTCAAGTTTCCTGGTTGTATTTTAAGTCAGAGATACTGTTTTAATAAAATATCAGAAATGCTTTACGAGGCAATTAGTCTGGCCTCCTTAACAAGGGATTTTACTTCTTATTTGCTCAGAGCTCTACTTTGGACCGCTACTCTAGAATCCTTAGAGAGAAAGTCAGAACTAAAATACAGAACTGCCTGCTCACCAAGCAGATGACGGTGGATGCGCCTAAAAGCAGGCAAGTTCTTCAACAGCGTTACCGCTTACGTGGAAACTTGACTAAGGAGACACTCTGGAAACCTGCAAGCCGTGCTCTATTCACTGCTCTGGTTTCAAACTAGCTCAAATTAGCTGCGGTGTAGGTAGGTTTGGGTGCTGCTGGCCAGGTGGCTGTGTCACGGCAGGTAGTATGGGAAGTCTGGGCAGTAGACTACGGCGAAGAGCTCACGCCGAATGCGGTGCTGCTACGGACGTATCGCGAGCCACATCCAACCGATCCCTCCACACTAACGAACTATCAGTGGGAAACTGCATCCATGACTCACGCCTATCTACAGGGTCAACTGAGAATTTTGATGATAAAATCTAGGCTTTCACGATTCAATATTAATTTCATTGAAAACTGACACTTGAAGAAATCAACATGAATTTCTGGTCACCAGTATTTATGACCAGTTACCATTTCTGTTCAGTTCCAACCCCTCTCCCCTGCACCTCCAACCTCCACAACCTCAGGTGCCATCGACGCTCGGCTTCTGCCCTCCTTCGCGGACCCAAACCGGTCCGAGATGCCAACTAACACCTCTGGGCGAGAGGAGGAGTGCTGCAGACCCAGCTCTGTACTAAAGGAGAGGCTGAAACTGATTTTTAAAAATTATAACCAGTTACTTTGGAGAGAAACCGTTGTGGAACCCACAAGACTGAGGCAGCACAAAACTGGTATTTGTTAATTAAAAATCATATTCCCTCGAGTCAAAGAAGCAGACTTGTAGGCTTGGGTGAAAAGCATAGCTGAGCCTTTTTCAAAGTAAAAAAAAGGAATCCACAGACAAAAGCTGAGCAAACGATGAATTTTGGGAACAGATACAGAAGGCTTAGATTGAAGAAAACTTAAAACTTTCTAGACCGCTCCCACTATCAACAATTTAGGAATATAATACTCACTAGGGAATATTTTACAGAGAATAAATATTTTGAAGACATAGAAAAATAGTTCACAGCATCAAGGTACCTGTAATATATTACCTTGAAATAAAACTTGTATTTAAAAGATTAAAAAGAGAAGATTATTCTTGTAGTGGTATCAACTTTTCATTCATACAAATATTAAGCAGAGTATATCTGTTTTTTTCATATATTCACATTATTGCTTGCTACCACAACTGTACAAGGAACATATTCTCAATTTACATTAATGTTCATGTACAGTCATTTTAGACACCTAAAGCAAACTTAAAAATACGACTGAGTTGCAACTTAAAAAAACCTGTAATGTGTGAAGATATGTACAACTAAGATGTAAGCAGAAGAAATGAAATACAACTGGCCTGACCCAAGCATACATCATATATCCAGTTAAAAAAAAAAAAGACTTATATTTGTGCAGAACATAAGCTTTGTAAACCAAAAAATGAGCAGAAGCAAGGGTGCAATAAATAATTACCTAGCACGTTTAACCTTACAGTGTTGCCCAGTGTACCCTGCTTTGATTATTTTTAATACACGGCACCTGCCTTTGCATCTGGAGCTCTGCTGTTCAAGATTTCTTTAATAACTTTCTCCTGCTTATGTGACTTTAAAAGAAACAAACAAAAAAACCCTGAAAGGTCCTCTTGGACAGAAAGTTTTACTAAAACCACATCCTTCTGCACCTCTGTGTCCAGGATCCTGTAAACAGTAGGAATAAAGCTGATACATGGCATTAGCCTGAATTAAAACAGCTACATTATAAACTGGAATATTAATATATTTGTGTGATCTTGAGTTCTACTAACCAGATGCATGCAATTCTCTCAGTGATTCTTCTAATCTGAGTAAAATAATTCTATTTTTCTGCTTTTTTTTTTTTTTTTTAAACCTTTACATTAGAAGTTTTTCAGAACCAGCTGACAGGACTTCTTCATGAAAAGCACAGAGACTTTTATTAATGCAATGACATTTGGGTTCCAAAAAGCACAGCTTCAAAAAGAACTTTATCTCCTTCTTTTGTTGGAAGAGGCTAGCCAATATCCCAGAAAGAAATAAAAATATTTACAACTGACTAGTCACTGACAAAAGTTTAGGAAGATCTTAGAAGGTACTTCAGCATGGAAATTAATGAGTAAAAGGACTTACACAATGTACAGTCAATCAGTTGTGTCATTTGGGGATAAAAAAATACCTGCTCACTTGTATACCATTTTCAGCTATGTATTTATAGTAATATATATATGTACACACGCGCGCGCACAGATCAAAGACTCTTTGAAAATCAAGACACATTAATAAACAGAAGTAGTAAAAGTAACAATAACTTAAGTAGTAGTTAACATTTGCGTGAAATGACTTTGCAGAGTTTGACCAAATGCACTTACAACATGCTCTTATTGAAGAATAAAAAAAAGGAAAACAAAAAAACAAACAAAAAAGAAAGAAAACACCACAAGATTCTGTAGAACCAATGCTATGTCACCACCAGGAGAGCACCAAGCAAGGCACCGTTGGAAAGACAACATACTTGAGTAAGTCTCTATAAATAAATCGAATGCTAATCTGGTCGAAAAATCGGTGTCTTTGGTAAAAATTCTATAAGGATGACCTGTATAAAAAGAAAACAGATATGTATTAAATGGAAGAAGGCAGCAATCCTACTCTCTATCACAGCCAGAAATCACTCCCCCGTCCCCTTCGCCCTTTTTTAAGTACAGAAAGTCGTGATGCCGATCAGAGACCACAGTAGTTCCCTTAGGCAGGAGACAATTCAAAAGCCATGTTTGGTATAATTGCTTTAGGGTAGATACTCAAAACTCTGAAAGAATCAAATTAAATTGGAAAAATTTGCCTACTGATATCCAACACATCTAACAAACTGACATAAGCTACTACATCATTATTCTTTACCATAATTCACTTTATTAGGCAAAAATTATGAGATAAACGTATTCATTTTAAATAACACAATGTATGCAAAGTTAATTTTCAATTCCACATGCAATTCCCTTTACTTCAAAATTATTTCTGCTTCATATAGGATTCTAAATCATGTTTATAGTTTAAAACTTGTACAGAACGGCGTATCAACCTTTGTCAAGTTTCCACATCTAACAAATTTGCAAGTACTTCACAAGAAATTCGACTGACACTTCTCCGTGACTACTGTTATGGTCCAGATCAAAATTTAAAATTCTGTATTTCTGAGCTCTGTACACACAGTATGGCACACTCCAGAATACAGCCCAAATACAGTATTTATACTACTTTAAATAGCAAGCTTGAAGCAAAGCTTCACTCGTGCATTTTCTTCCTTCAGACAGACAGTCATCATACAGCAGCAGGATATTATTCATAAACAAATAAACGCATCTGGTAACATAACTAAGGATTTTATTTACTTGTACGGGGAGCTTGCCTTTCTCAGAAGTTTATAAAGAATTTCTAAATGGTTTTGCTTGTAAAGGAGAACACAACTTGGCTGCTTACAGAGCAAACATTTCTATTTCTGACAGCGCACTGAACATCTGTAAGTTTAGAGATACTTCAGAAGTGATGCAAACTGTTCAAAATCCATTGATCACCGACACCAGTCACCTACTGGATGATATTCAGATGGGGTTTCAAAAATGGGAGCAAGAAGTAAAGCTGGAACATTGTGTTTATGCCAAAGGTATAAGACTGTCTTGCCTTTACTTAATTTATTTAATTATTTAGCCCATTTAGCATCTACAACAGTGGATTTGGAACCTCAAGTGTGAAAAATACTGTTTAAAATTAAGTCATAAACCCAATGTTAAGGGTAGTTTTTAAGAGACTTGCGAAAATGAGAAAATGGTACAGAGAAGTTTTGTAAAAATTCTCATTAAATATATCCAGAGTTAATATACTAGACATTTCACAAATTAAAATCTTTGATCTATATTCTGTAAAACTATATGCCCACGCTTACATATTATTAATGCAAAGAGGTCAACTGATTTTAAATTGTATTTAATAGGACGAATGCTCATCTGTAAATGTCACTGGGCCACAGTATTTACAAACTAGCATTGTATGTGGTTTTTTCAACTGAATCTGCACAACACTGGCTGTGACCACATTTTCCTGTAGAAAACAAAATTCTCAGTGAAATAAAAAACTGTTCCTTTACCTAAAGTTCAAACTCACTTTCTGAAATCTGCTTTATTCCATTTTCAGTCACATCTCATACATCTAAACCAAACAATTTTGTAGAATACTTGTTACAAAAAGTCTACTTCTTCAGTGAATAGAGCCTTCGGTAAAAACATATTTCAAAGTTCTTACGTTTCAGGCTACAAATATCATCTAATGTAGAAACAGGAAAAAGGAGAAAACTAAAAGGAAAAGATTCTTTTAATGTAATTTCCAACCATTTAATCACTTTTAAATTTTTTTACATGCACGATAGCCTTGTTGTTTCAAAGAACAAAGTACCGTGTAATGAAAGCTCGCAGATAAGTTAGAACTAATACAACAGATATTTCTCCAAGGCTAATTTTTATTTTTAAAACGTTAACCCTTCTTATCTCCTACTTCCTCGAGCACCAACAGAAATTACGCAAATTCTAAGGTTTCACACATTTTAGTCGCTTAATTTCATCCTATTCTACGTACGTCCCAGATATTTTGGAAATGGAAATAAAAACAGCACCAAAAAAGAGCAAGCAGGTTGCAAGCTAACCGAACTGAAATCCCCCATTGGGCATCATTCATTTTAAACCCCACATAACTTCTCACCGCATATTTCCAAGCAGGGCTTCTGGAGTGTCAGCCAAAGATAGAAGTTAAAACTCTGGTGACTGACTTCAAAATATTTTAGTGACACCAGTTGGAGATAAAGATACTTTCAGGACAGTTGAGGTAAGGGGCAGTTAAAATCTGAAAAGGCTAAAGGTTTCTTAAGCTCCAACAGCTTAGCTGAAAGGTCTTCTTCCATACTTTTAGACTTGATTAGCATTATATAAAACAGCCATATCTGACTCACTGCGTAACCAAAGTTGTGGTTATTCTTTATACAGCATCTAAAATTTCACACTCCATCAGCACATGTTCAAGCTATTTTATCTTGGCAATTAATTTATTATTTTTCAGAACACAGTGAAGCCTTGTTTTCAAGTCATTCATAACTTTATAAATCAGTCCTGCACATGAAACCATGCATCTGTGAACCGTAGAAAATCCTTGCACTCAGGCGATTAAGCTCCTGACACCTTTACTGATTAATAATCATGAAAAGAATAAGATCAGAAGCAAAATAAATGATCATTTAATAGAGAAACTCACAAAACAGCCCTTTAACTTACATATTCCATCATGTTATTCGTTTCACATTTCCTTTTGCTTAGTCTCCAATGCAAGCACAGCTAGACAAGGAGGAAAGCAAAAGAAGAAAAATGAGCTGTATTTTATTGCAGCACACAGACGAGCCCATTTGTCCACCTTTCATATTTTTCGTTCAACAAAAGCATCTGTTTCCATACTGTGCAATTCAAACTCCAACAGTACGAAGCTGCTCCCTGCGGCACTCACCTTGTGGTATAACCTATTGTTTTCCCATTCTAATAACTTCTCAATCGATCTTCGTGTCTGGAAGACAAATGAGAAAGAATTTTACTCTTGACTGGTTTTAGAAAAACTTTGTTTTGCAGCTGCTTTTGTGTGAAAAGGAGAGAGGTACAGGACAGTGACTGAGTACAGGGTGGTCTGGAGCGCGATCAAAACTTCCCCGGTATTAAAGAGTAACTAGAACAGAAACAACTCTTTATGGCACCCAAATAATTATCTTCAACCATTCCGGGACAAAAACTGTTCATACAGATGCTTTCTGGTTCCTGTAGGAGTTTTAACTTTAAACCCATGGGAATTTTGCATGGATTACCCATGGGAATTTTGCAGGGATTGAAGTGTGGCAGGAGGAACAGCGCTCGCCCAGCGCCAGCGGTCCGAAGGCTGGCATCCGAGCGGACAAACGCTGCGCACCATTTTGCAGCGCCGCAGGTCAAGTACAAACACACCATGCTCTAAACAAAAAGAGAAAGGTCTGCTACTTTTCCATCCAGATTTTAGAAACTGAAAAACCGAACGCAGGAAGTTACAGTAGGCTGCACAAACGAGAAATCTGCGAGTTGTATAGAGACCAAACCCAACATTTAGGGCTCTGAGGCAAAGTTTTACTGCCTGCCTTGTCCCCGCTTCACACTTCAGAGAGTCCTGAAAGCTCTTCTTCACAGCTTTTTAAGATTATGCACGCTACTATTAAAGGACATTCTGTGCCGCAGAGTTTCACAGCGTTTTGAACATAATTATTCAGTTATATTTACATTTGAGAAATACATTCTGACATTTATGGTCATTTGCCTGCCAGAATATATACTGCTTAGCTCTAAATGGGATTTGCTACTGACTATGAATAAAAAGAGGATAATTCATGGTGCCAGGTGTTAAGATGAGACCAACAGAGCTGCAGGTGCAAAAGGACGGAGCAATGACAAGGATCAAATACAACTTCGCGCAGCTGCAGCTTCCTTACAAGGCAGAGCGGGGTGAGGGGAAGGGACGAGAAAGCATCTTGCTGTTATTACTACAAAACACAAGTACTGTAAATAAACCTTAACAAATCAAGCTAAATGGTCTCACGAGAAACAAAAATTGGAAATTAAGACAACAAATTACTCCTTTCCCACCAAATATTAACATCTTGGTTTTCAAACACCAGCTCCTCTCTGGTTTAAGACCGAAGCGGCTGCGGGGAAACACATCTAAGCACGTCCTGCTGTCACATGATTAAAAATTAGATCATTGCTATCTGTAAGTAATCATCACACTGAATTTTGATTAGGTTTTATTTCAAAAAGCGCGAAGTCACGGCGTTATGAGAAGGTGGATGTGCAGCGACTACTTTACCCCATCAACTGGGAACTGAGTATTTTCGGGGTTATTGTTATTATTATGTTTTTAAAGACAGTGCCCTTTAACAATAATCAGTAGACCTCACTTGTTTCTTTGTAAAGATAGCCTTTTAGAGTCTGCTCTCCTTTTAAATGAAAATAGGGCAGCAGTTATGGTCACACTTTTGTTAATTTAGTTGCCAGTCAGCTCCAAATCAAAAGAAAATAAGGCTGCAGAGTGTAATTAACATTCAGTTCAGTCGTTTTGTCCCTTGTCTAGCCCCCGAGCTTTGTTAAAATTGCCATCTGAATGCTGAAGGCTGTAGG